AACGCACTTGATTTTTCAATTGATTAAAAATTGAAAAATAAATTTCCCAATGTTTTCATTTCTATTAATTTCCAAGGAACAATTCAGCTACTGCATTCAATCAAATGACAGCTTGAAATTATGAAAACTTTAATCAATTTTTTAAATCTTTTTTATTTAATTTTTAAACCATTAAGATTTAATTATTGTTGTCTATTGTAATTTAATTCAATTGATCTCCGAACCCAGTGGGAGATTCATACATGATGTTCGACAGAAACAATTGAAATTATCGTTTATTGCCTCCCTCCGCAAAAAAATAGAACATCGTTGATGTCATCTAAAGTGCCTGAAGGACACTCACGTGAAACTTAATGGACGCTTCCCATTTTCCCGGTTGAAACAGAGATAAGATCGCACTCAGCTGTCACGATGGCCCCTCCCTCCCTCGTAGCAACTATATAATCAATAAAAAAGATTGCCTATAAAAAAAAGCGTATTTTTTTCCGTCGAAGGCAAGTGGAACAAGACAAGGATAATGGAGTGGAGTGAGAAGTCTTGCCTTCTGGTTCATAGCGCGCGAAAAGTGAAGGAGCGAGCGATGAAAATTCATTAAATTCGTGGTCGTGTGTGCCGGAGGCAGCCGGCAAATTAATTCAATTCGTCGTGAACGGTAACACAATGCTTGTGGCTTCCCATTGTCCAGTGTGTTGAGTATTTTTTTCCCCTAATGGTTCAGCCACAAACTGGACTGAACGTTTTCCTCGCCTTCTCCTTTGTTTTTCGGGGAGATGTGGATGCATAACTAAACGAGTGAAATGTTTGACTAAAAGCGAGGGGGAATTAATTAGCAGTGCATGGGTAATTAGAGCTCTCTGTTGTCGTTGATATTCACATGTCTATCTTCAATCAAGTTGGTGACTTTTGAATGGAATTTCCGATCAAATTATCGAAAAAATTGCGAATTATTGTCGAAAATGAAAAGCTTGGGGTTTTCCATGTGCATTTTGTGGTCATTATTTATACATTATTTTTATGAACTTGATGAATTCATATATTTATTTTAATGAAACCGTTGTGATCATATGAAATGAATCCTCAAAGATATATTACACCCTTTTCGCCAAAATTCACATTTTTTTAATTTTTCTCGTAAATTGCTGATCGGATGGACGTGAAAAAATGTACCATTTTTGCGTTTTATCATTGCTTAATAGCTCACGAAATTTCATGATCGTGCAATCATTTTCCTGCGTTTTTTCTAAACCCTTCGGAAATTCACAAAACTTTAGAAAAAAATGCAGGAAAAGGATTGCACTACCATGAAACTTCGTGAGTTAGTTAATCATAACAAAGCGCAAAATATTATTTCGCGTCAATCCGATCAATAATTTGCCAGAAAAATGAAAAAACCTGAATTGTGGTCGAAAGGGTGTAGTACATCCTTAAGGTTCATTTGAATAGAGTTTATTGAGTGTAAATAAACCATTATATTCAACTGAACCACTGGTAGCAATTGTCAAATAAAATTACCACCAGTTACGTTGAGTCAAATGTTTGATGAAACGTAAGGGGAAAATTAATTAGCCATGCATGGGTAATTAGAGTTGTTTACAAATCACCTTCACGTTCAGGAAAATTCCCCGTGCCAATGGAGTGACATTCACTACTAATCTCGCACTTTTTCTCCTATTTAAGGTGAAAAAGTACTGGAAATCGAGGTTGCTTGTTTGGCAGCTTTTCACGGGGAGAAATATTCAATAAAAATTAAGTATCTGTTCCGTAATTCCGGAGCGAAATGTGGTTGTAGGAAATTTTAGGGAACTGTCACGGAATTTTTCCGGAGCGTTCCGTAATTTTTATCGGAATCTCCTGTGAAAAATTACGTGAGTGAATTTTTTTCTCCGTGCAGTTCTCTCCGTGTGATAGTTCTCCTTACGTCTGACTATACAGACTCTACTACTGAAACCACTGAATTTGATTTTCCCTATTGATGCCTTTGCCTAATGACTACATCCCAATCCCCAATACCCCATGGAATCACCTGATCATTCATCTCATACCAGCAGCAAAGCTGAAAGCATATATTTGGATCGAATTGATTCATGACAAGCCTCAGAGGGACTTGCTACATGGCAACTAGTTGGTTCAATCATCTTCGGTTGTGATTATGGACCGTACACAATGCACTATGGATTCTGTGAACGTAATTTCTAGCGATAGTGCTCGAGTTTCCACGGTATATGGACGTGGGCTTTGACGTTGCAAACCCTAGGGACGTGACACTGGACTCTGCCGGGCTCTCATGAGTATATCGGGTAGTTCTCTCCACGTGGCATACTGAATGTTGCAGTTTATGATCACGGGTGAGTTTAGGAGGAGGAAATTGTTCGTGAGAAGTACTGTTTTAGGATGTTCACACATTTTTCGTAAATTTATTTTTTTTATTTCGGGATTTTTTTCTTAGTGTGATGGAGGAAAACAAACATTGACGTGAAAATAGAATTTACAGTGACATTTCAAGGAATTTCATGATTATTTCAAAATCAGGATTTTATGAAAAATTTCAAGGAAAGTAAATTTTAGTTCAATTATTATATGGAAATTAATTGAAATTGAGAAAGTTCAGGAAAATGTATTCTTCATGTTTCAATTGATTGAAAATCGGTTATAGGAGGGATTGGGTTTTAGGATGTTTGCACATTTTTTGTAAATTGATTTTTTATATTTTGGGATTTTTTTCTTGGTGTGATTGAGGAAAATAAACATTGACATGAAAATAAAATTTCCAGTGACGTTTCAAAGAATTTCAAGATTACAAAATCAGAATTTTATAAAAATCTCAGTGAAAGCTGTAAATTGTAGTTCAATTATCCTATGAAAATTAATTGAAATTGAGAAAGTTCAGGTAAATGTATTCTTGAAGTGTCAATTAACTGAAACGTCATCACGCAATTTCGTCATGAATATTTATGTTCTGATTGAAAATTCATGTAAGTGGCGAATTCTCGTTTTTCTGCTGTTCAAATATTCGGAATTCCATTGAATTAAAAAATTCATCATTTTTTCTCCCTAAATTGAATGAATTCAATTCTTCAAATGAATAAAATCAATAAAAATCACGCGATGCCCAGAAGTAGAAAATGTCAACCGAATATTTCGCAGGAACTTTTTCACTGCGCAATTTTCGAAGATCTTTTTAAGAATAATATTGATGGAATTACTTCTCCTATCCCTAGTCTGCGATTCTTCCACAAGAACAACATTCTAAATCCAAGATAATAATTTTCTTCATAAAAAGGATATACTGAATCCGCATTCAGCAAGAAACTCAATCCCGTGGAGCCGAATAATTTCATTCTTCCCTAGAATTTCATCACTAATTCAATTAGAGTTCATTCCAACTTATAAAGAAGCAATTTCAAAACGAGAATTTATTTGCACTAGGCGCAACCAGCGATTGTCGTTTGAATCATTCCCCAGAAATTTTATTCCAGTCGAGAAGTTTTTCGTGATCGAGTTTAATCAGTCGTCTAGAAACTTTCTGTTGTTCTGGAATGATGGAGGGAGAGATAGGAATGGAAAGAAGCCACTGGAGTGGGGGTAACATGACCTTGGAGTTAAAATCCAGTGATATAAACAAAACTTTAGCGGAGAAATATCTCGGGAGGGAGTAACCTCCTCTCACAGGTGCTCGTCTTTATACTCAGATTATTCCTGTCTCTATCGTCTCCCTTCATGTGTATTTATACACATTTGTGATAAATTGCCGCGCACGAAAAACGTCTAAATCCCAGATGACGGATCCTACGTAATTAATCAGAGATATGTCTACCCAGACACTGAGCCCCAGGGCTCTTGCAAATCCGGTGTATTTTATTTTTATGATGCTATCATGAATAATATGATGGACAAAAGCGTATTATATAGTGTCCGTTGATTTTTCTGAAATGACAGAAAATATTTCATTCTCTCAAATCTTGGGTGCACGGAGAGAAATTTTTGATAAAAATTATCCTACCGTTCTACCGTTCTATAAAAAGTGTATAATGAGTCATCGTTCCCTCATTTCTATCCCGAAATTCAGTAAAAATTAATATATGATGATCAAATTTTAGTCTACGTTTGAGAAATTTTATCCTGACGCATAATAAATTTTACCCTTCCAGTCCAATAATTTTTATGTAGATAACCACGAAAATTCTAGAACGGTTGGTAAATTTTACCCTATCGGTACAGTAATTTTTACTCTACCAGCACGGTAATTTTTATTTTTATCAGGATAAAATTTCTCTAACGTAGAATAAATTTTGATCATTATATATTATTTTTTACTGAATTTCGGGATAGAAATGAGGAAACGATGACTCATGATACACTTTTATAGAACGGTAGGATCATTGTTATCAAAAATTTCTGTCCGTGTGGAAAAAATATATCTCCGGTGATTATCTCTAAATTATAGGTATCATTTACAAGAGATATATCGAGATTCCCCCGGAATAATCACATTTGAAGTTGAATTGAAGGGAGAATATTGCGGAAAATATTGAAATTCAGGTTTTGGATGTTCTGTGTTATATCAAGCCATTGCAAAATAAATTCTAAATCCCAGATGACGGATCCTACGTAATTAATCAGAGGCACGTCTACCGAGACACTGAGCCCCAGGGCTCCTGCAAATCCGGCGTATTTTATTGTCATGGCGTTATTACGAATAAAATGTTGACAGAAATTATTTTATTTACTGCGAATTTCCCTCAAGTTATCACATTTGATGTTAAATTGAAGAACAAATATTGCGGAAAATATTGAATATTATTTCCGAATGGAAGCATTCAAATTTAAGTTTTGGATTTTTTGTGTTATGTTAACCCATTATGGCCCAAAAAGCCCGAAAATTTAATGTCTATAACCTGCCCGTATTCACGTATGCATCAGTTTTTCTTTAATTATTCGCCAATTCACCGACTGCATTTAATCATTTTTTTTCAAACGCAGGTATTGCTTTATGATTACAGCTGCCGAAATGTCAAGAGCCGAGAGCAGAAACATGGAGGGGGAGAGGAATAGTCAGCCCAGGTAAATTGAGTAATTATTACGATAATAATCGAGTGAACTCCGTCGAAAAATATCAATTGCATTAATTCCTTCATTATTCTAAAAAATGTAACATTTTCAATTTTCTGAAAACTAAAAAATTGAGGAATTGAAAAATGTTGCTCCAGTTCTAAATTAAAAAGGGAAATAATTTGATTCAAACTCATGGCATGAGTCGTTCACAAGTGCAAGAGTCAGTTACATAATTAACGTCTCCGCAGAAGTTCTTCAAAACATTCATTATCGTGTTTATAATCACAGAGAACCTCTCACCCCCGAAGTTCCTCTTTAAATTGATTACTGAGAATGTAACGAGACGCAAAATTGAATAATGTTTATTGAGCATTTTCGGGGACGCTTTCCTCTCCCGGTTAATTCACCCTAAACGACCCGTCGCACTTAATTTTCATCCCCTGTTCTGCCATGCAATACGAGAGCAACTACTCTCGCTCAACGAGTGGACGGTAATTACCCCCTGGAGTCCGTGGCTCTCCCATCAAATATGTTAATTGGATTGGCAGTGCTTGCAGATGTACACTTAAGTGGCCAAAAAAGTCCCAAAAAGACGAGAATAAGTCAAGAATTTCCTCGTTCTTCTTCCTCTCCATTAAAATTCCAGAATTAAGGAGAAAAATTCAATTTTTGTTTGGCAATATTCTCTCCAATCAAATATGTGAATTGGATTGGCAGTGCTTGCAGATGTACACTTGAATGTCCGAAAAAGGTCCCAAAAAGACGAGAATAAGGAGTCAAAAATTTTCTCGTTAATTCTTCCCATCCATTAAAACCCCAGAATTAAGGAGAAAAATTCATCTTTCGTCTGACACTTTTCTTTCCCATCAAATTATTTAATTGGATTGACAGTGCTTGCAGATTTAGACTTCAATGGGCAACAAAAGTCCGAAAAAGACGAGAATAAGTCAAGAATTTCCTCGTTATTCCTTCCCCTCCATTAAAACCCCAGAATTAAGGAGAAAAATTCATCTTTCGTCTGACAATTTTCTTTCCCATCAAATTATTTAATTGGATTGACAGTGCTTGCAGATTTAGACTTCAATGGCCAAAAAAAGTCCGAAAAAGACGAGAACAAGTCAAGAATTTCCTCGTTATTCCTTCCCCTCCATTAAAATTCCAGAATTAAGAAGAAAAATTCAATTTTGGTCTGGCAATTTTCTCTCCAATCAAATATGTTAATTGGATTGGCAGTGCTTGCAGATGTACACTTGAATATCCGAAAAAGGTCCCAAAAAGACGAGAATAAGGAGTCAAAAATTTCCTCGTTAATTCTTCCCATCCATTAAAACCCCAGAATTAAGGAGAAAAATTCATCTTTCGTCTGACAATTTTCTTTCCCATCAAATATGTTAATTGGATTGGCAGTGCTTGCAGATGTACACTTGAATGTCCGAAAAAGGTCCCAAAAAGACGAGAATAAGGAGTCAAAAATTTCCTCGTTAATTCTTCCCATCCATAAAAACTCCAGAATTAAGGAGAAAAATTCATCTTTCGTCGGACGATTTTCTCTCTCATCAAATATGTTAATTGGATTGACAGTGCTTGCAGATGTGCACTTGAATGGCCGAAAAAAGTCCCAAAAAGACGAATAAGTCAAGAATTTTCTCGTTCTTCCTCCCCCACCATTAAAATTCCAGAATTAAGGAGAAAAATTCATCTTTCGTCGGACAATTTTCTCTCTCATCAAATATTTTAATTGCATTGGCAGTGTTTGTAGATGTACACTTAAGTACCCGACAAAAGACCTAAAAAGACGAGAATAAGTCAAGAATTTCCTCGTTATTCCTTCTCCCCCATTCAAATTCCAGAATTAAGGAGAAAAACTCATCTTTCGTCTGGCCATTTTTCCGCAGTTTGACATAGAAATTCCCTGAAGTTCACGAAAAAACTCCCAAAAAAGCATTTCGCCTCAACATTACGTTGACATGCAATTTTCATTAGATTTTGTCCTCCGTGAAGCACTAAGATTCTTCCCATACTTTTTTCTCCGAGCATCAGACTGGTAGGTAACGCGCAGTTGAGAGCCTACGCATATATCCACCCACATACAGGCGGCCACCCCCTTTAATATCATCTCATACTCGAAGAGGGAATCCGACAGTACAATCTTTTCAGGTCTAAAACGCACTTTGCTACAGGCAAAGGCTGTGAAAAAATTGGAGAATAAGAATTATTTTGTAATTTATTTATCGGTCTTTCTATTTTATATACAATCAGTCGAAGGTACAGAGAGGGAAAAATTGGGAAAAAATTACCATGGAAATCACGTAACAATAAATGAAGTCAACGTAGGTGTGAAATCACTGTTCACCGCATGAATGTTTATTGCTGTCACGTCAAAATTACGTTGCGATTCATAAAATTTCCAGAATTCAAGAGGGAAATTTATTTTTTTGCTATTTGACGTGAAAATTTCCTACAGAGAATTTCATATCGCTTTTACGTTTTGTGACGTAATTTTTCCGGCACTCTCAGAAAATTACTCTTCAAATTTCAAGTGAAAAAGCTTGAAATTTTTGACAACAACAAAGTTACATGAAATTCCTGGATGATACGGCACTGAAAAACATTGAAAGTTTTGAAAATTCAGGCAACAATTGTTCTGAGTTCTCAATCTACTCAAAAATTTAATTCTATGTAATTCAATTTTCATAATGAGCTTTAAAATTCAAGCTTTCATTGAAAAATCAATGACTGTTTAACATGAAACCTCAATTTTCTTGAGTTTCCAACATGAATGCGAAATTTTATGAATGTCTCCATTTAAAATTGAATTCAAACTCACAATATCGAGAATTCAGATGCCCCTGTGACTGAAATTTCAAGAAATTTCTACCAGTCTAAAGTTTTGAATCTTAAACTTAAACTTAAATGGAAAAAATAACGATAAAATGATTGAAATTCTCGTGGAATAATAATGATTATTTTGTCTGTCACGTCTAATTTTCGTGTTGTCTGCAGATCGTGTAGGACAAACAGCGTGGCACTTCCGGCCAGCGAGAGCTTTCTGCCGTCAAGTGGAAATAGACGACATCCACCGTTACCACGGCGTCATTCCGAGACCCCGGCGGTACGTTGCGCACTTTATTCCCCTAAATTTCGATATAACCATGCATTGCCAGCTGTGTCGCATCAAGCGAAAGCTCAGTTCCGCCCCGGTAGTCGCAGTAGTCATTCCTGAGTTACTTCGACCGGAATCGTCGAATTCATCATTTCACTAAATCGTCCATCAGCTGAGATTGTTTTTTGCCGGTGCATCGGTTGAGCTCAATGCTCGGTTGTTTATTCACGTGCAGAGCACTGATACTTTTCGGAAGCTGGCGGCAGTGATGAATACCCCGGTAAATTAGACAGAAAGCTCCCAGCCTGCGCCATACCTCTTACGTTGCACCAGTGCGATAACGTAATGAGAGAGTTTCCTTCGCATTACCTAGTCCCTCGCTAAAAAACTGCTGGTACTGTCGGATTTTCTTTTATTTAGCTATGAATTTTTATTTTTAGTGCTACAACTTGCTACACGGAGAGAAATTTTTTATAAAAATTATCCTGTCGTTCTATAAAAGTGTATCATGAGTCATCGTTTCCTCATTTCTATCCCGAAATTTAGTAAAAATTAATATATGATGATCAAATTTTATTCTACGTTAGAGAACTTTTATCCTGACGCATAATAAATTTTACCATTCCAGGCGCGGTAATTTTTATTTTTATCAGGATAAAATATCTCTAACGTAGAATAAAATTTGATCATCATATATTAATTTTTACTAAATTTCGGGATAGAAATGAGGAAACGATGACTCATGATAGACATTTATAGAACGGTAGGATAATTTTTATCAAAAATTTCAGTTCGTGTAGCAGAGAGGAGAACTATTCAAAGATTGTTTAATTCACCGGTGAATTGCGCATCTACTGCTTTGAAACAGGATTTTAAGATTAATCCACAGAAGGACATGCATGAAAAAATTTAACAAAAAACCTAGCGAATTCGCTGGATAATTCTATTGGATTTCTATTGAATTTTCTGTTAGTTTTTGGCCGATTCTATTGAAATGTTTAATAGAAAATATTTTGCCGAAAAAGTCTGTAGAATTAGATTTTTCTATACAACTTATTTCACTGTAATATTTTCTACAGAATTTTCTCAGCCAAAATTCTCCAAGTTTTTCCATTCTATTTTTCTTTTCTTTTCGTAAGAAAAATCACACGAAAAAGCTTGGAAAATTTGAGCCACGGAAATTCTATAGAAATCTAATAGAATTTTCCAGCGAATTCTCTAGGTTTTTCTATTAAATTTTTTCATACGCGGAGAAATGACTTTGACATTCAGTAATGAAGTAGGAAGAATGATATGTCGTTTTCCTTCTGATGTAAAGATATTCATAAAAAAAAACTCACCGTAAAGCGCATTTGAAGTGAACCAGAAATTGCTGTTCCATAAACTTCTCACAGCTGAAGGAAGATAGCGTGATTCTAGGAAATGCTTCTAAGGAATGTGCGTGGCTGCTACGTGCCGCATCTCTTACAATTCATTGAAAGATTCTTGAGTCCAGGAGAAATGTTCTATTTCCGCGTAAAATCGCTAAACTTCTAAAGATCTCCGTAGAAGACCGTCCTTTCCTTTTAGATTCAAGGGTATTCATCAACATCTCGTCATAAGTCGCATTGATTGCGCTTCTTCAGAAAAAACTCATTAAAGCAGAACAGCATAGATCCAAGAAAGACTCGTACAGTAAACCTTTTCTGTCAACGCGACTTAAGAACGAAATATACCAGGAAAAATTTTTTTTTCGTATTCAAATAAAAATAACTCTTAAATTTTTTTTACTCATTTCAGGAATATTTTTGTTACAAATGAATACACTTGTCTACTTGTTTCAAGAAAAAGAATTTAATGATATTTAACAAACAGTTTATTTATTTCAAATAAAATTTTTAATAAATTTGAAACAACAATTTATGTATTTCAAATACATAGTTCTCTTATTTTACGAAAATCACATTTTCATGGATTTTGTGCAAGAATTCTTTGAAGAGAATAATGAGAGCGTTTCGTTGCAGATTCGGCAAATGAATAGACTCAGGTCTGATCGGGCAAAAAAAAGATAAAACTATTCGCATCCACCGGGTCCGAGAAGCTCGGAGCTTTACCCGGAGACACCTCGACACATATACGATATATATACCTCACCTACACACACAAACCCTCACGACACGACTACAGAGAGCGACGGGGTCGAACACGAGGCTCATGTACACGGATGCACGCCTCGTACATCGGAGCCGTTGAGTTGAAAAACTAAACCGAAATCGGTGATTGATTATTGGGAGCGAGAGCCGCTGTTCGAGCTTCGTGCATTTATTAATTACTTTTCATATTTTATGATCATCAAATTGCACAGGTGACAGTCACCAGGACTCCGCCACCGATACCAGCAAGAAAACTGCACGAGCGTCCAATTTTTATAACTCCAAATGGAAGACCGGACGACCGCAAGAACAGTCTCGATGGTCTCATTAAGCCCGACTCGATCGAAAGTACAGCATGGAGACGCGGCAGTGGTGATGGTGATGGCAAACTCATTGATTTGGGGACATTGAGACTACCGAACAATTTTGAATCTCTCTCGAAGCCGGATGAAAGTGCTGAGCACCAATACACCACTCGAAAGTTTGATGACGGTGTCGAAAACTTTGATGGCAGTCACGAGGGAGCCTTCAAGTCTAGCTTCGAGGAGCTTCAAAAGGCCGCTCGAGATCTTGAGAAGAGGCTGCATGAGGAAATTGTCAGGAGTGTCGATCACACCGGGGGAGAATGCGGTAGTCAGAAGAGGGGGAGGGATGTTTCCACGAAAAATTCAAGGTCTGAATGAGTCCCTTCTTGCGTCATCAGCTTTTATTGCCAGAAAATAATTAAAATTTTAAGAACTGTTTAGGAATAATTTTCCCGACAACTGTATTCAATTTGATTTTTGG